AAAAAATTGAACATGTTTGTTGGAATTGTGCAAGTGCAATGACATTGAAACAAATAAACCAATTAGTCGAGATTCAAATGGACAGTAACAAACACAACTCTGTCCTCAATCAAAAACGTTTTCAAAATGGTGATTCATCTAAGAAGACAATTCCAACATAGATAGCTATTGACTGATCAATGTCGTGTTGTTCGGACATAAATGAAGGTTAGATGGGCATGTTAAATTACTCATTTAACACCATGTAGTTGGGGAAGTAAATGTGGTAAAAGACCGAGCTTGACTTTGAAGCCATTAACTCCACAATACTTGTTGGCAGAGACAAAGTAGTAACCCAATGTACGTAAATATCCCTCATGTTTTTAGATATACAGGACTTCTACAATACACTGAATGGATAACTAACTTCTCACTCCATTTTGATTTCTCTCTCTTTTCCACCACAAACAACACATCTCATTCAGTCCAACTGCTGACTTTGGTTCCTCAAAACTCTTTTTCTTCGACAGCGACGCAACCATAGCAATGCGGTGAGACCGACACCCACAATTAATGTGATTGTTCGATGGTCAAAATGTTGCAATGTGTAGCATTGCTAGTACCAACACGACTTCGCTCAACTAGTAAAGTCTTCGAGAATATTGTCTTTAGGTTCCTTGATGGAGTTGACCTGCCAAATTTGAGGTCTGACTTAAATAATGCACGTTATTCGTTAAGAATTTTGTTCATCTAAAATTTATGAACCGTTCGAAAGTCTAAATAACTATCAGAAGTACTAGTTAGTCAAACTCGTGTATGTATATAAGTAAAAATAAGTTAAATTTCACCATTTTTATGCTTTAGGAGTTCGAAAGACCATCTCCATGCTCATGTAATTAACTTTTTCATCTTTCAATTTAAGATTAATTACTGTTTTGTTAAAATTCACTCTGCCACTAGACAAGTTACCAATTTTTTTAATTCTAAAAGCTGAAAGTCCTCTGGTATTCATAACTCAAAACAAGTAGTGATAATAATCAATCATAGAGACATTCACATTAAGAAAGAACTTGTTATGAATGATTCTTATACAGTTCGTGACCTATTAGAAGTAGAAGGCGTTCTGGTGGGATCCACATGGATAGAAAAAGATTGCATTAAGTTTGACAATGATCGAGTGACATTGCTTGTTCAGCCAAAATTAAGGAATTCCTTGGATATGATGCAAATTGGATCTTGTTTTATCCTTGACGAGAGATTTAAAATTTTAAAAATTCAACATGCACATCGAAAAATTTCATAGTAAATTAAGTCCAAAAAATGCAGAAAAAATTCGAAAAATTCCAGAAAATTCTTAAAGCATAATTTAACCATTTTAGACCTTCTTGAAGTTTCATACCATCCTTTGATGAAGATTACCTGGCTTTAAATAAATTTTACAATTTGAACTACAATGGAAAAAATTAAATTACATCATTGAACTTTCAAATGGCTAAATCAAAACCTTAATTACATTCATCCAAAGATAAAATTATATTAAACCTATAAGTTTCATCCATGGCCCAAACATACATCATCATATATCAATATATATATATATATATATATATATATATATATATGCATATACAATATATATATATATATATATATATATGCATATACAATTTGGATCCATGAATGATGATTTTGATAAATAAAAAAATATGATCTCTAGTAATGAATCAAACCATGGTTTGATACCACTGCTGGGAAACGTGTAAATTTTAAAAACTTTCTGAGCGATTATCATACATAGATCTTAATTCATCACATAGAGATAAGTTTTATGTAAAAATAAAATATGATGTATCATTCAATTAATAGATTGAATACTTACATCAAGGTTTGAGTAAATCTCAGATCCCTTATGTAAAGTGAATGTTCTCACTTATTGTAAATTCCTTTCCTAGATGTCTTTTCCTTAGATCTATATCTTCTTGGTAATGGTTTTGCCTTTAGGAATCATTCATAAGCCTCCATAAATGACCTTTGAAAACTAGGCTTGTGAGAGCCTCCATTAAATGAAAACAATAACCCTAAAATTCGATAGAGAGAAAATATTCATTTTTTTTTTTAAAAGTCACACCTAAAATATGCATGTACCATGTATATATAGGCAAAATAAAGATAAGAAAAGGAAACAATAAATCATTCAATCTCTAATTACCATATCTCAAATCTAATAGGATTCCAATATCAAGTTGGGTTATGAGTGAGAATCCTTTAGACTTATTATTTTCTTAGTTATAATGAATTAATAATTGGTCCGATCCATGGATCCAATTCAATTAATTCATAAATTAATTTCTACTCCACTAAAAGAAATTAATTGAACTCCAAATAAATAATAAGTAACATCTAAGTTAATGTTGCATTTTAACCCCCTGTGCATAATTAGTTATCGGATAAGTAAAGCCATCAATCCGACTACTTAATTAATATATTTATTTTGGTACCTTTGATTATTTCCGGCTTGATCACAATAAAACATTGTTTGACAAAAATAATAATTTAAATAAATAAATATATAATAAATCATTTTGTCTAAAAACACACGACGGCCTTCGAATTTACTTTGTAATCAATCATAATCAATACAAAATAAATACAAGTAATAACGATGCAAATATTGAAAATATAACCCTCTAACTATTAATTACATAATTACCCAAAGTGCCGGCCTAAGGATTCCGAAAATTTCACCGAACAAATCAAAGTAATTACTAATTAATAAAATAATCTATACTTCTCTCATGCTTAAGAGTCAAATGTCATGACGGTGATAGGGAGCAATTGCATACGACGGCTCTCACAATATATCTCAACCTAAAGCGAATCCAGTTCAAGTTTTAGTTAATAATTAGTCCATCCATAATTACCGACTATGAACAATTTATGATTACAATTTATATTCATGTATTGATCATCATCACACGCATATATAAATATATCTTATAATCAAATAGATATTATCAATTTCATAATAAATCGAAACATAATACATTAAATTTATCAATTATATAAATCATAAATATTTCAGATATGTCAAGAACATATGTTATTATTATAAGTTAAATAAAAATTTACTATGCGACATATAAATCCAACCGTTCGAACATAAGTGAAGGTTAGATGGGCATGTTAAATTACTCATTTAACACCATGCAGTTGGGAAGTAAGTGTGGTAAAAGACCGATCTTGACTTTGAAGCCATTAACTACACAAATACTCGTTGGCAAAGACAAAGTAGTAACCCAATGTACGTAAATATCCCTCATGTTTTTAGATATACAGGACTTCTACAGTACACTGAATGGATAACTAACTTCTCACTCCATTTTTATTTCTTTTTCTTTCCCACCACAAACAACATATCTCGTTCAGTCCAACTGCTGACTTTGGTTCCTCAAAACTCTTTTTCTTGCCACATTTCGACAGCGACGCAACCATAGCAATGCGGTGAGACCGAGACCCACAATTAATGTGATTGTTTCGATGGTCAAAATGTTGCAAGGTATAGCATTGCTTGTACATTCACGACTTAACTCAACTGGTAAAGTCTTCGAGAATATTATCATTAGGTTCTTTGATGGAACTGACTTGTCAAATTTGAAGTCTGACTTAAATAATGCATGTTATTCGTTAAGAATTTTGTTCATCTAAAATAAATGAACCATTCGAAAGTCTAAAGTAACTAGCATAAGTACTAGTTAGTCAAACTCGTGTGCATATGTAAAGATAAGTCAAATTTCACCATTTATATGTTTTAGGAGTTCGAAAGACCATCTCCATGCTCATGTAATTAACTTTCTCATCTTTCAATTTAGGATTAATTACTGTTTTGTTAAAATTCACTCCGCCACTAGTCAAGTTACCAATTTTTTTAATTCTAAAAGCTGAAAGTCCTCTGGTATTGATAACTCAAAACAAGTAGTGATAATAATCAATCATAGAGACATTCACATTGAGAAAGAACTTGTTATGAATGATTCTTATTTAGTTCATGACCAATTAGAACTAGAAGGCATTTTGGTGGGATCCACATGGATAGAAAAAGATTGCATTAAGTTTGACAATGATCGAGTGACATTGCTTGTTAGGCCAGAATCAAGGATTCCTTGGATATGATGCAAACTGGATCTTGTTTTATCCTTGATGAGAGATTATAAATTTTAAATATTCAACATGCACATTGAAAAACTTCATAGTAGATTGAGGAGGAAATATTGCAATTTCTTTAGGTTTAGTTTGAAAAATAAGCCAAAAATTCAATCATAGTCAATTGATATATGATCCTAGAAATTAACCAACATGTTGTGTTGATCCATGAAAAGAAGTTTCTTTTCCTTTTCATTCAAAACTCAAATTGTAGTGACCAGCAACTTTATTAATGTTTGTAGTGACTAGCAACTTTAATGCACAAAAGTCATTGTCTAGATATGCTTTCGGAAAGCAAATTGAAAAGCAAAGCTACATTTTTGGAAGTTGCATTTTGCAGCAACATTGAGGGACAGGTATATTAGCAACAATTTTGGAAAGAAATTGAGTGTGTGAAAAAGGGAATTGTATCTTCATCAATTATATAATCTAACCTAATTATAATGGATTGAATTTAAATCAGGTCACTAGCACAGTCACAACCATCTCAAGAAAAACCATGCGACACCTTCCATTAAACCAATAATTTTGTAAACTTACAGAAACCTAACATGGATATAGAAAGTGATTTGGAGTCCAAAAGTGGAATATATCCAAAGGATCACCGTAAGTGTGGGCATATACCCCACCATTAAGTCACGGTAATGTCAATATGGGACTCACACCCTCACTCACCCTTTCAGAATTCCGACTTTGGACTCCCTATCATTCCCCTATCCTGCAACCTCACTTAAATAAAAGTAAGTTGCTGGTTAATTTAAAGTTGTGTGTGTGAATTGGGAATTTAATTTGTTTGTGACTTCCAATTTGAATCAAACCAGTTGCCTGCACAAGGTGTGGTGGTGGCACCAAAATATAAACTACACCACCCAATTAACATTATAAGATTATTGTAACCAAACAATGATGAAATACTTTGCAAAAATTATTCACTACAACACAAATTATGCAGGACAATAATCTAATATGCTAGAAAATTGGTACCTACTCACACTAGACAAATTTATGACAATAAAACAATCAATGAACTCTTGGAAACTTCAAACAACATGAGCTCCACCTAGGGAGCTCCACAACTCAGAACACTCTTCTTCCTCCTTAGATTTTTCTCTCACAGACAAGAACCCGAAAGCTGTACTTGGAGCTTGCATGAGGTCCAGTGTCAAGTGGGCACCGGCTTCACTGAACCGGTCCCAACTGTGTGGCTCCGGGAACACTTGGTGATGAGTGGTTACCAATGGATAGGAACCTGCAGATTGGCTCCTATTCATGTCCTCCAATGCATGATTGTGCCAATGCCAATCTCGGTCAACGACGAGCTGCTGGGATAGAATGGCTGCGCGGTTTTCTGCAATCAGCTCACGTAGTGCAGCGCTGCATCTTGAGGAGAGATCAGATGATGAAATCCAAGAATTGTTCTTCGATGACAGAAGAGAGAGAGCACGACCTGGAAGTAATAAACCTGGAAGCCTATTAGACGCAAGTTCGAATTTCCATATTTCTTTTGAGTTTCAACTTGAGCCTTAAAATGCATTTAATTAACCAGAAATATATATACATCCAAGGTTGTGTAACACTAGCATAACATGCATGCAAATTATTGTGGTTATGGTCTACACAAACAAGCATCTTTTACGTAGATCATAACAGTTGAATCGTTTATCACTCAAATCCTCAAAACTATATTAAAATGAAACTATCTATGTTTATAATCTATACTTATTTTCAAATACAGAACTACAAAGAGCGGAACATTTGCACATACATTACGCAAGAAAAGCTTCATTCATACATAGGAGTTGGCACATTTTGTTTCCGGCCCTGCTTTAAGAGTATTAGTTTAAATGATCGTCCCTTGTATTTCACACTTTCAACTATGTCAATTTTTCTTGTGCATTTGTGAACTCGTGTGGTGCAGTACTGAGCCAGCTGAATCCACAATCATCGGCCTAATGGGATCGGGATCATTCAATACAAATCTAAACAAGATAACCGTGCAACAAACTTAAGATTCAGGGATCTGATTCTGGCATAGCCTTCACCTATATGAATGAAAATGTTTAAAAGATACAAGCTCCTAAAAGAGAAATATCCCACTTCAGTAAAACAAATATTAATAACAACAACAGCAATTGGTGAATATATTTTACAAACTAAATAGTCGGGTAGAAATCCTTCAGCTTATACATGCAACGTGTAAAGCAAAAGCACAAATGCAACACAGAAATTCGGAAGCCGAAACTTGAAGCACATGCATATTTTTCATGGTTCGGCAATGTGCTTAGAGGAGGGGGAGACATATCTATCTACTATCAGAAAACATTAGGGTTACACGAGCCCTAACGTCTCAATTGTTAGCATCATTCCCATCTACAAATAAATTATCCTATTTCCGCGTTGAGTTTTTAAACCCTACGTAAAAAGAAAAAAGCGCCTTTTTTTTGGCTGCCTCTAAAAAGGCCCTTTTAAGATATCTCATAGAATCCACCACAATACAACAACTCAAGTTTACTGAGTTTAGAACATATAATGCAGTAAGAAAGACGAAAACCAAATATCCCGAATCCAGAAAGAGAAAGCCTAGCATTGAGCAATGTAATTTTAATTTTATATGAACTTAAGTCGATATCCAAATAATGAGATGGTGGAGCATCTGATTCAACAACTCCACAATGATATATCAACTACTAGGATTTGATGACTCCGATCATTTTGGCCAATCTAGTTCTCATCTAGGGTAGCATTTTATGTTAGATCACATTTTTTTCCCCGTAAATGATCTATTGCATTACATTGATAAACCAATTCCGCTATTTACTTACAGAATTAACATATGGTAAGACATTTTAGCAACTTGGACAACCAGCACCTATAGGGCAAATTGATTATCAACCAAGCAATAAAGTTTATGTGAATCTAGTGCCCCATAAAACTAATTAGTTTGGAGCCTAATGAATGCTCCTAAAAAAAAGCTTTTTGGTTCACTGACAACTTTAGTTAAAGATCCAACTCACTTCCTATCTGGTGAAGCTTCATTTACACAAGCTTTGAAGTTATCATGAAACATAAGAAATCAAATGCAGCCTCAAGAAATAAACAATTCAATATGGTAACAAAAAATTAATTAATGACCAGATATCTTCCAGCATTGTCTATTCGTGCTAGGGTTTTATTTATCTTTGTACTAAATTGCTATCTCACTTTTCCATTACCTGTACAGGGGATCACACCATTTTGCTTTCCAAGTTTTAGCTATGGTGCCAAAGCTTTTGAAGTAAAGTAGAAAAAAAAAAAAAGAAGCTGAAAAGGCGTTTAAAGGGACTGGTAGGTCATGGCTTAAATACTTATCACTAAAGCTCTAGATGAATGTAACTCTCATCCATGCTTTAATCATCATGCTTCTTAGTTTCAACAGAAAATCGCAAACACGAAAAATGTGAAAAGTGGAATCTCATACCATGCCCCCCCATGAAGAGGAGGTGCAGGGTGCAAGTTGCAGTTAGGATATGTATGTGTCTGTCATACTTGTATAATATATGTGAGACTATATATGGAGAAACATTGAAGAAGTGTGGAAGAACATATTCACCTCCTAAAGACAATTACATAAACCTAAATGTATCCCAAAACTCACAAAGAAATTTATATTTATTTGAGATTAATAAATCTAAATGAACAAATAGTTATTGAAGAAAGAAAATACAAATGGACGATGAATAATTGTACTACTTTTAAGTTCTAACATTTGAAAAGTTTTTGATGATCAAATTGAACAAATTTGATCAAAATCCAATTTTGACAGCAAAAACAAGAAAGAACATTTTTTTTTTTTTCAGAATTTTAGGTTCATGGTAATAATTTTATAGGTCTAAACCATGTTGCATTTTTCTTCTTTCCATCAATGCTTTTGCCATAGACCAAAATTAACCTCATGTTATAGTCAGCTACATGGGCCCAAAATACAGTCTAAAATATCTGCCATTATTTCCACCGACTTCTGCAAAGCAAATCTCTAACCATCATAGACCTAGCCCATCCACTCACACTGCACACACACACACACACACACACACACAAAAATCTATGTATACATGTGTATATATGTATATTATGGACATTGCTATTTAGAAATTAGAGGAAATGATTAGTGAAGTACCTTTAGAAGAGTTCCTAGCAATAGAATCATGAGAGCTCTTTCTTCTTCTCTCGTTGTGCCCTGCTAATCTCCTTCTACAACTTCTCTTGGAATCATCAAACTCTGTCACTGCATGAAACCTAAACCCCGCCCACAAATTGTAATTACATTTAAGCCCATTACTTGACTATAAAATCGCCAAACACGGAACAATTAAATATATAGCAAATACACTCAATTATACATATTAATATACACAGACACACACAAAGATGTATATACGTATATGCAAACAAATACAACGAATAACAAGCATCACAATTCCGAGAGTGGATCGCATGCATAGTACTACATCTGATGGTCCACATCAATCATCTTTGTGAGTGATGAGAACCGCCGCACAGTATCCCGATGGTGGACCCGATTTTCTCTAAACTTTAAAATGCGTAACGTTATAAATTAAATCGAGAATATAACACCAACAATCACACAAATCTTGGCGTTTGTAAGCATACTCAATTAGAATGCGCAAATCAATCATCCAATGCACTAGAAGGGATGTGATATGCCAAGTCCACAAAGGGAGGTGACCAAACAAATCCCAAAAATCCCGGAGCAATAAGTAGAATGTCATTGAGTCAGAAATGAGCTTCTGGGTTCTGCCAATTATACAAAGCAAATAATAGATGTATATATATATATATATATATATATATAGTATATGTATACATATATATACATAATATAATACATGTATCTATATAGTATATGGCAGTCAGAAAACCCAAAACACGCTGCCTCTGATGAAAGAGAAAGAAAGTAGAGAGAGAAAGGAAAGTACTAGTATTATTACCTGCTACACTGTTGACAAAACCGTTGCTCTAACCCTAGAACAACCACTTTGGGTGCCTTTGAGTGCACTTCACAAACCTTGTGCCTCTTGTGGTAGTCCTTGGCGTTCACCAGCGCCACGTGGCAACCTTCAACCTGACACCTCGGCACCACGGCCGGCGACGCCACCGTCACACCCACCGATGTAGAAGGCCCCACAAAACCGCCGCCGCCGCCAACACCAACACCAACACCAACACCGCCGTAGTAAGTTTTGCCTCTTTTGGTTATGGAGAAGCCACCACCCACGTGGCGTTCATTGAGGGCAGTAGCATCCTCGAAATAGTGCCTCTTGCCTAGCTTCAAGCACGTGAGGTGCGGGTCCGGGTTGTAGTTGTTGGACCCTCCACCACCGGCATAGAGAGAGGAGGAGCGGTGGTGGTGGTGGTGCGCATTGTTCCCCTCGTGAGAAAACATGAGCGCGTGGACCCCACTCGCCCCCGGGTGTGCGGTGGCCGGCGCCGCCGTGGCGGTTGCGGCGGAAACGGTGGCTGCGGCAGCGGTGGTGGGTGTGTTAAACGAGTTGTTGTTAGTACTACAGCTGCTCCAGTCAAACCGTGAAGTACCAAGCTCGCAGCTGATATTCCATGCAAGGCTGTTGCTGCTGCAATTACCATTCTGCCCTCTGTTGCTACTATTGGTGCTGCTGTTGAACAAGTTCCAACTACTCTCCATCTCTCTCTCTAAAAAAAAATTCTCTCTCTAAAAATGGAGTTATGGGTACTTGAGGGCTTGCTTGCCGGCTTGGTGGGTTGCTAGTTTTTGTTTGCAAAATGGGAGTTAACACTGCATATAAGTAGAGATCCGCAAGTTGTCTCTATAAAAGAAGGAAAGATATAGAGAGAGAAAGTGGGGACGAGGAGAGAGAGAGAGAGTGGGCAGTGAGCAGTGGGGTGGTATGGTTCTACTCCAATGGGATTGGGTGTTTAAACTTTAACGAGAAAAGCTGCAAAGTTAGCACTCTTGGGGTAATAGAGAGAGAGAGAGAAAATGTGGCACGTGAGAAGGTGAGGAAGAGCATGTGGCAGAGTACTCAGAGTGGGACCAGAGCCATTGGGGGTATTGAAGTGATTTGATTAGAAGAGTCAGCTCTGAGTTATGTGAGCGGCAATAATAGAAAGAGACAGACCACAACCAGAGAGGTGGTGATAAGACTCCTGGAAATCAGTTACAAACTACTGTACACAGACCCCCTTCTTCTACTACCCTATATACGTATAGGTACACTACCTGACACACGTGCTTTGCACGTGAAATAAAAGGGTCAAAAAACGGAGGTAGGTGGTAAAGATAAGAATCCATTGATTTTTCATCCTTTTAAAAATTTCATTTTACTTTTTGGCACATTCAATTTTAAGAGAAAAATAAATTTTTTTTTGTCATAGTTGTCTGTACTGAAATTTATATTTTTATTTACAAATTTTTAAAAAAAATTATACTCAAATTGTCAAATTTTTACTCACACTCTTAATTAAATTATTTTCAACTGTAAATTCCGGAACTAATTCAATTGCAGCAAGGTAATTAATTAGATGAAAAAAAACCATGAGTTTTGAGTTATCTGATGTACCATGATCTTAAAATACTCTCAACGTCAAAAAAATTGTGAAATCTTTCAAATCCTAAATTGTAACGGATAAAGATTGATGATAGTACAGAAAAATCGAAATAGAGAAGTTTAATCGTAATTATTTTCTTGGAAATTTTAGTTAGTCCAAAAGATATTATATTTATAAATTAATTAATTAAGTTTGATAAATTAATGTTGGAATGGTAAGGTAGTGATGTAACGCTATAACATCTGTAAGATCCTAAGATCAAATACTTAGAAATGATATGAGAGAAATTTCCTAAGAAATAATCGGTTCCTCTTCAACAAGTTCTTCTAGGCTTAGTAGTTGTTCAACAGAACTCCCTTGAGGATTCGAATGTAAAATTTGAAAGTTGAAACAAAGACGCCAAGGCGCCAAGCCTGCCACCGGTGAGAGGGCCGGCGGGAGTAACTTCAATGAAATTTAAGATTACGAGGAGATCACCTTTTTATTTTTTCTGGGTAAAGAAGTACATCACCTTCCCCAACCACACGAGAAACAAAATAACGTTTTTTTATTTGACTGTTTTGACACTTACACAAAATTAATATAATTTAATTATTATCCTAAATATATACACACACTGTTGTACGGGCGCAAGAGTTCTGATGTGATCAGAATTCAAATCATTTTCTGTAGTTTATCAGAACGGAAGGAAATTAATTACAAATTGTAGTATTAATAGAAAAGTGACAAAAGGAAAATTCAATGTGGAAACCTAGTATATTTAGTTATTTACTCTGTTTCTTATATTAGATATTCGAGCTATTTATATATGTAAGAGCAAATGTTGTAACCTAGTAATAGGTTTTTGCAATCCAAAATAAAAGATGGATGATTTAAATTCTCATTTACAATATCAACAAACTCTGTCCAGCTCCCTAACCTTTAAATCAGCATCCTAAATATAGCTAAAAGAATAAGTCAACCTTATTCACTCTCCTTGACTTTTGGAATCCAGACCTCTTGACCAAAGCTCAATTAGTGTCTCGAGGAGCCCTCGAAGGGCAAATTCCCGCCTTGGTAATCAACCTGCCTGAGAAAGTCTATCTTTGAGGTTTCAATCATCCGTGGCAATGTTCCAAGGAGGGAGCCAGTATAGGACTTAGGGGGCATGTGTTTCCATGCATTTTTTTCTTTTCTTATTATATATATATATATATATAAGAATGTATATATATATAATATATAATATACATTCCTATAATATGTATATATTTTTTAAAAATGTGTAAAAATATCCCTTTCTATATCATATATGTTTTACAGATGTCTCGATAGCTCAGTGGTTAGTGTCTTCGGTGAATTTTAAGAGTACCTGGCTTCGACTAAGGCAAAAATGAAAAATACTATATATGTTTCCTTAAACGTTTTTTCTCATCCCAAAAATATTAATCTCTATATAACGTTATTACATTAATGTGCACCCCTAAAAAAAAAAAAATTATGGCTCCATCCCGAATGTCCAAGAGTTTTAAGTGGCCTAGGAATGGAAAGAGTTTTTGACTGAGAATAATACCCTTAATTATTGACTTTGAACCTGATCTCACGGGGTATTTTTTGAACTTTAATTATGTATACCCACTCATTTTAGCTTGGCAAGTGCTATGTAAGTGCCCACTTACCACACCCATACCGAGTAAGACTATTATGAAGCCTTGTAAGGACAATTATTAATTCTTCTCGTTAATAGTTGAATTAAGAAAATTATTATAATAAAAAAAATATTTTTCTCAAAAATTGTCATCGGGAGATAATTTTCTTAATAACCTTATTCTTGCAACAATCTCTACATGCAAGATTCATAATTTTGCCTTAAAATCAAAGTGTATTTTGGTACAATCTGTATTTTGGTACAATTGACTCCACTTATCTTTTTAATAAAGAAATTAATAAAATTACATCTGGAATGAAAAACTAAAAATATTATAAAAAAATAACATGTAAACTTCATTTTTTATAAAAAAATAATAATAATAATAATTGAAGTAAATGATAAAGTGATCACCAGTGAGGATACTACAAAACAGGTGGTGTTTGTGTGTTTGTATTTTACCTACCATTTGAAAAGAAAAAACATTATAAAAAAAATGAATTTAAATATAATTTTTGTCATTATCGAAACACAATAAAAGTATGCAAGTATGTAGAATGGTATAAGTAGGGTAGTGTGAGAAAAAGAGAGATCGGACGAATATGAATTTATGTCACTACTTTGAACATTACCAAATCCATCATTCAATGCAACAGTCTGTAAAGTTGCAATACAGTCTCTACATATACGATTGGCCATACACGTGTCACACAATAGGGCCCACCTCAGATCCTCAATCACAGCAAAGATTGACCACATTGCCACTGATCGTGACCACTCCTTTGCACTCCATTTGAACAGTCATAAACTAAATTAATGAATAAATAATACCCCTACTAGGATTATCAATATAGTTTAAAATTACAGGTACAATATTTCTTTCTCAAAATAATTGTGTCACACCTTTTCCCAGAAAAGACAAAACAAAACAAAACGTATAACTAATGAATAGAATTGAAACCTAATGTTACATGGAGTGCTTATCATTGATTCGATGTGATACAAGAATTTCAAAATATCTTTTCCTTAACAGTAAGAAGATGGCATGCAATAATGATTCAGACGGAACACCATGCGCAATAATTTCACGTGTAATAAGCCAGTCATTTACTATTGGACTCAAAAATTTAAATTAAAAAAGCAATGTTATATATCCTCCCTTGTAAGTTTAAGATCCTCTCACCTTAATTTTATGTGAAACACCTATTATTATAAGTAAAATTTGTCCCATATCGGATTTGAGGAGGAAATTGAATAGATTTGGATTAGGTGTTAGTCTCATCTTATCGTTTAAACTTTTGAATCAGATTGCGAAATAATTCATGATATCAAAATCAGACTTAATCATTGATCTGGTGCTACGCTAAATACACGATCTGAAGGTGCCCAAGTGAGCCCTCTCGGATAAGTAGGGTGACCCGATCACAAACATCAAATCCGAAAATGTCCAAATGAGTCTCTCAAAGAGACAGAGTGATCGGACCTCAACGAAGTTTGGAGTTGCCGCTTACAACTACAATGATTAGGATGGCAAAACTGTAGATAAGTGAAAAGCTTGGGGGCATTTGTATGAACTATCCGTTGGTGGAAAAGGTTGAGACAGGTCCTCGTGTAACATAACAGACAGCAGCGAATAGCAAAATAGACTTAAAAATAACAGTCCCTTTTGCCTGTGGTTAAATAGTAAAAATACAGAAGAGCGAGAGATTTAGATGAAAAAGCATAAGTCTGCTGAACCCACGCGCCATTTTTGAGCTTTACCACGCGTCGCGATATCCACCGTTCGATGACTTACGTGGACGATATTATCACCGCGTGATATTTGCAAGCTTCTCTTGTGCGCGTATTGTTACTTTTTTATGAGCATTTATATCATGAATGGAAGGTGTCGGACTTTTAGCGGTCTTCTCTGCTGTGGACGAAAAGTAAAGGAAATGAATGGGGATAGCTACCTGACAATGATGTTCACATGTCAAGATCATGATCAGGGACATTGTGGTAAATTTACATCTACATCAAACTTCTAGAGATAAACCCTTTTGTACTTTTTGATAAAAACAAAAAAAAAAATTATGATCCGGATTTTATTACTACTATAATTATTTTTTAGGGTAAAATACATTAAACCCCTTGAATTATTGGTCATTTACAAGAAACTCCTTTGAATTACAAAAAACTCTCCCGAACTATGATTTTGTTACAATTTACCCCCTTGAACTATTGATCATTTGCAAGAAACCCCCCTGACTATGATTTTGTTACAATTTACCCCCTTAAACTATGATTTTGTTGCAATTTACCCCCATGACATCAGCTTCCGGTACCGAAAATTTTGAAAGACCAGTTTACCCTTATAACACGCTGCATCGTTTTAACTTATACACTTCTTACTTCTTTTTTTTCTACCAAAAGATATTTTTCACCCAATACAACCAAAACTGAGAGCTGGAGAGAGAGAGAAGAGAAAATCCGAGGTTGGTGGGATGGCTCGGTCTCGGATGATGGTGGCTTGTGCGCAGAAGACTTAGCTGTGATGAGAGCTCAGTTGACTCGGCCGTGAACTGTGGGGCTCGGCGGTGAACAGTGGACGGCTGTGTGCTCGAAACACGGACGGCGGTGTGCTCGGCTATGGAGATGGCAGAATGGGCGGGCGAGATTGGAATGGACGGTGGAATGGACCGGCGAGCAAGGTGAACTGAATGGCGGGCAAGGCGGTGACGGCGATGGGCTGAC